GGCTCTTAAATATGTGTCTCATGCTTTAAGAGGAGGAGAAGAAGAAGAAGAAGAAGGGGGGAGGGAGGTGCGACTGAATTACAAATGAGCTGATAATTCTTGGCCTCCCTGGTTCACTCCCACACAGTTTTTTGCGAAATCCTCCTTCATCCCCTCTGCCAAGATGCTGCGGTGTGGAATTTGAAAATGTCGACATCCTCAACCCCCCCACCCACCATCTCTTTACTAACCCTGCTCCTCCTTCGCCGCTCCTCCTGTGATTTTACTACAGCAGGGTCACACAGACACCAATCTCCCACGTCTAGTTAATTAAGGGGATTTTTTTTCTTAAGTGTTTGGCTGCCTTTCAGTGGATCTTTAATCGGAATTACTGCTCATTCTCCACATTGGCTGAGCTGGAATGGGTTTGACCTGCATCCCCCGAAATTCCTTCTGGAGTTTGTTAGACGTAAGGAAATGCAGAATTGGCAGAAGGTATCTTGACTAATGGCGTGGAAATGTGTGTGTGACCGAAAAATAAAGTAAGCCACCTTATGGCGTTTTCATACAAGATAAGCTGCTGGCGTGCTACCACTGCAAATAGTGCAGAAAACTCCATTATCTATAAACACGTGGGTGGTTTGAGGAGGCTACATTATGGAACGATCTCTCGCAGTGAACTTGTGTCAGCGTGTGAGCTAATGCACACAGTTTCGATGCATATAGCAATTTAACCCAACACCTCTGCCAACAAAATCCTCGACCCCAGCACAGTTGTGCTTTTTGGAAACCCCTCAGCTGCCCCCATTCACATTAATGACATTTGGCATTCCTTCAAAAGACGAGGATATCTGCTCATTTTCCTTTGGATCAGATTGGAGCGACTCCAGCCGTCTGGCAACCCTGGGAGCCAAACACAAACATCCCCGTGGGGGGCTCTCAGTGTGACCTCCACACAGACCGCCGTCTACCCCGTATTTACATGTCGGCAAAAGGGGGAAGGGGCGGCTTCTAACATGGAGATGGATGTTGCAGGAAAGCCACCATCATTACTTACAAGTCTGAGGACAAGCGTCCTTAAAGAAAGTCAGTTAAATGAGCAGGGAGCGATTAAAAAAAAAAAAAGGATGTCCTCAGATCTGTCTGTCTGTGGAAGATAACAGGGTTGCAGATGATGATACACAGACTTCCTGAAAGAATACACTAACTTGTACACACACAGTCATCCTGCGACGTGATGGTTCCTCCCTATTATTGGAATGTCATCTGACTTACAGCGCAGCCTCAAGTTACTGCCCATTTTCATCACCAGCTGTGTGTGTGTGTGTGTGTGTGTGTGTGTGTGTACACTCAATTGCGTTTGTGGTCCAATACCACGTCCTAGAATGCAACAAGATGCAGTGGCTCGTGCTCATCGACCCCCCTCTCTTCTGATCCATCCATCCTGTCTAATAATATTTGCCAAGTCAACAATAAACCTGATGGATCCTTTGTGTTTCTGGTCATTTGTAATGAAAAGTCTACAGAGCAAAGCAATTTCACTGAAACTAATTTATAAAAGTATCTGTATATAAAACCCTGCAAAGATCAATACAGCATCAAACAAAAAGAAAAGGTTTTAAAAAATTTAAATTGCCTGCTGCTAAAATGTTTTCATTACATCCATTTAAAAGCTTTCCATGTCTAATTTAATGTTGGATAAGAGGTACTCCATTTCGGAGGCCATTAAATATGGCCACTAAGCTGAAATCAATTTTTCCAATTGCGTACCTGGTAAAATAACAGGTAATAATAAAAAGCTGTCCAAATCATTAGGCTCATTTGGTGAAATGCCAAATATCAGCATCAGTCTTTCTATAATTTAGTTATTTAAAATTAATGGGGCCACATTTGCCATGGACACACACACACACACACACACACACACACACACACACACGCTTGGCATCACTCACTTATCTATTAAGCTGTAAATCCAAGCACAGTTACACATCTGAATCAACGAACTCTTAAAAGGTGATTATAAGGCGGAGAAGGTTATTGATGTGTCATTTAAACAAGAAGGCCCGTTAGTAAGTGCGTGTGTACTTACTAGCGAATGCCAGGGCTAGACTTTCTTACACACACCTGACCTTTTCAAAATCCTTCCGACATTTACAGGACCGATGCGAAGTGGCGAGGACAGCTCATTTACATAATGATAGGCCCTAACTGAGACAGCCATTAACACAAAAACCAAACCAAGACCTAAGCCCCTCGCTCCACTGGAACTAATGAGATACTGAGCACTTGCTTTTTCCTTCTTTTATCGGGGTGGAAAAAAAACAAACTCCTCTCATTATCCATCAATCAAATTCATCTTAATAGACAAAATGTAATGCCCTCTCTCTCTGTAGTAATGATGAATAATCTCTGGCTTGGCAGAACTACACTGCTCACAAAGAATCCCTCCATGTGCAGGGAAATAGTTGAAGCAAACAGTGTGAGCTATTGCTCAAGTAGAATTGCCAAAAGAAACATCTCCTCAGAGTTTCTGATTGCTTATGCGTTCGTGGGAGGGCAGGGTGTTGTGAAAATGTTGAAAAACGGAGCATTTCAGAAGGGTTGATACCGCTCTGGCTGACAAGAAATCCTAAAGCCATGGTGACAGGCCATGGTGAGCTCACATGTGGTTTACTTTCCTGTCTGTCTGCGTGTCGTTTCTGTCACAAACAGCATGGCCTTCAGTCAGAAGAGAGGCTGGGAGATGGTTGAGGAGGGGGGCGGGGGGGCATCTGAATAAACCAATGACTACCATCCTTCAAACAAAAGCACTGGACAGGAGAGAATGAAAGATAGATGTAAATAAAGAGAGACGAGAACAAGGCCCCTGTATGTACTGGACGGTGGGGGAGGGAGCGAGGAATGGCGGGAAAGAGGGAGTTTGACTGGCGGGTGGGAAAGAGGGGAGGGGCGCCTGTCTTAATCAGACGCTGCCCGTTGAGTTCTCCAGCCAATTGTGAAACTCAGCTGCAACCCTGCGCACTGCAGCAGGCTGCCGAAGAAGCCACCTGTTCCCTCGAAAACCGAGGAGAGCCACCCAGAGTAGCTCTGCATCTGAATTAGATTTGCTGGTGGACCTCAGGTACACGAGGACAAACGCTGTCTTGTGCAGAGCAGAGAGGGAAGCGGCCTCCTCCCCCGGCCCTGACCCTGCATGCCCACCAGTTTCTCAGGCAGCCAGCCAGCCAGTCACCCCCTGCACACACGCAGCCATAAAGACAATGCTCCCACCCCCCCACATAAGCCCACCCCTCTTCAAATAAAAACATCTCCATGGTAATGGGCCAAGCGTTTCTGACCCACATCCGTGGTCCCTCACAACCTTGACGTGGGGGGTGCGGGTAGTATTATGGTGTAATTTCAGAGCTTAAACTGGACCCCCACCAGCCAGCTTTTATTAACTTCTGTACATATATGTGTAACTACAGAGGACTACCTTAATTAAAAACCTATCAACCTCAATAAAGATTTTTTTTTACTGCTAGGCCATATTAAAGTGGAAACTTTGCAGGGAATTAAATTAACTTATCTCAGACGCAGCATTGAAGGTGGAGGCAAGTGGTTGCTGTCGCTGCTCGAGAGGAAGTGGGGAAAACACAAAATGCAAAGTAGACAAAAGGAGATGTTCCAGCTTCACAGTTGCAGCTCAAATTGCATATCCTCCCTATTACCCAAAAGGGGGTCAGATGTTCACTCAGAAAAGATGACTTAAATGAAAGAAAACTGAAAGTGTGTACCGGTTAAGCCTTGCGTTTTCCCTCGCTCATAAATATGTAAAACATTTTGTTTTGTTTTTCTCCCACTTTTCTCCCTCCCCTCGGAACACTTCATGTTCAGCAAAATGAAATTGGACAAAAAAGGTCCACTGCATGAATAAGTCAAGAGTGACTTTGCTTACGAGTCGTGATTAAAACAAACCCACAATCAACGACATTACTGTACACTACCCCAAATGTATACTGTGCCAGAGCGTTAGATCAAGTCCTACATTCTTGCCCCAATTACTGCACAACACATATAGCTGGCCCAGCAAGGAAGCAGAGAAAATGTTGAACTGGTTTCACACCACACGCATTCATTCATATGTTAATGAACTGCGTGCCAGAGATATTTTCTCTTGTTTGTGGGCCTACTCACTGTGACAGCAGTACCTTTAGGCTACACCTACTGTAGGCTCAAGTGGACTGGAAAACACCTGAATAATTTACCTGTTTAAACAGGTTGCCAGGGAAGCAAGGTGGCCTGTAACCTTGTTAAAAGTAAATACCACCTAATTTACAATAAAAGGCATAGATTGGGAATGGTTCGCTGTATGCAAACGGTGCAGATGTTACAACAACAAACTAGGCAGGGTAGGTTAAACATGATATCAGTGCAAATGATTGAGGGTCAAGTTGTTGCTCTCTGTGTACATTAAGAGCTGCTTCCAGCCTCGTTTTTGTCAGCTGAAGTGTGAATAATAGAAGATGATGTGCGGACAGAGGGGAGAAAAAGGCGCAGGGGGGGTGTAGAGCAGAGACTACCAAGGACAGACTGTGGCAGCCAGCGGGCACCTGGAGGAAAACACCTTGCTGTTCCACAGAGCCACACCTTATGAAAACTCAACATGGCGTTGAGTCACCGACCGAAACTCGGGTCAAAGATCGATACAGATGCTTCACGACTGAAGAATGAGGAAAAGGAAAGCGGTGGTAGTTCTCAACTTTCATGTCAGCTGACTGTGCTCAACCACATTTAGACATTTTTAGGTGGTAATGCTGAAAACCTCGCCAGTACAGCGAGTGACGAAATCACCTGGTGCATTTTCTGCTCCTGTCACCGCCCTGACAGGTGGTGGTAGTCAGGTTTAAATGCATCTCCTCTTGAATTATTAACGCTCTGAGACGGAATGAAATTAGAGTATGCTGCTCACAACCAACTGGACACTATATGAAGTTGTTTTTGTTGTTGTTTTTTTTTAATAAGTGATCATTTCTTACCGTGTTGAATAAGTATCGACGCGACCAAGCAGAGCAGTCCGATCATTTTGGAGCAGTCGTGCCAATTTCGGGCGTCACGTCTCGCCATGGTCGATTACGGTCCCCTTAGTGAAACCAGGCACGCAGTCTCTCTGGAATTGTCAAAAAAAAAGAAAATTGCGCAAAAGGCTAAATAAACTTGTTTGTCTTCAGGACAGAGCAGGAGTCCGACAGAGTCTCTTGTTTCAAACGTCCCTCGCTGCGCCTTTAAGACGGAGTCTGCTCAAAATGAATGAAAATCCTTGTGAATTCGTCCCGGCAGCGCACAGGTGAATATTTCCCCCTCAGCTGGTGCTCTGGATGTAATGAAGTGCTGCCGCGCTCTTGTTACTCCAATAACTAGTTCCTCCGAAGCGCGCGGCTGTCCGACTGTGTGTGACCGACTGGGTGATGTCATCAGGCTGAGAGGCGTCACAGCTCTCTGCTGCCCGAAAACCAATTAGGACCAGCGACGGCAGGAGGCGGTGGGGGGTCGGTGGGGGGGAGACTCTGGAAACAACTTGTTGAAATCGCCAAAAGCAGTTTTCGAAACTTGTAACTCAGATAGCATCTAAAGTCCGCGGAGGATTTGGCTTTGATTTCTGTCATGCATGGAAATGATCCAAAAAAACCTGATTTATATCCAGGAATATCCCTATATGGCGATATTTTGTCAAGCTCCCAACATCTGAGAAGTATCACCTCCGTTCATTCGCACTCAATGAGGCCTCAAAGTAATCCTGTGTGATTGCTTTAAATGTATACAATTAAATAATCCGCTATTAATGCAGATATCATCAACAGGAGAGCGTCTCTCGGTATCTATGTAAAGTTACTCCACTATTTATCAGAGTCAGACAGTTTCGATGAGGTGGTGAGGTAAACTTACGTGGAAACGGATGATTCTTACGCCCTCTGCTGTATGTTTCTGCACACACACACACACACACACACACACACACAATTGAGATGAGCTCACTCCAGCACAGCAGATGCTAAAATCAATAAACATTCGTTAATGAACGCCAAAATTCAAATCCAGTGGCAGTCAGCGAAATCAAATCAAGAGGAAACAGCTTCTCATGTATCTATTTACAGACTCTCTTGTTGATGAAATTTTTTTTTCTCCCTTCAACAGAATAACTTCCAATTCATTTTTTGCCCTATTTTCCTCTGAGGCAGGGTGCATACTAGCATAGCGAAGGCATTATCTGGTTTAGGTCTAATCCCTATACCCAAGTGTTTTACAGCCAATGTAATTACATCTCCATAAGTCCCACAGTTTAAATCGTGCTGCTCGGTTCCTTCTGTTCAGTTTCATTTCCAGATTCCCCTCCAGTGTCTCACCCTCTTATTTTTCAGTCTGTATTTCTGAAGATGCTGATGATGATCTGAGGTCAAACAATGTTCTGCACACCAGGAAAAAACAAAACAAACAATTCCTCTTTTGGAGACTTATGTCTTCAAAGAGACAGGAGGGGTTTCAATTTTTTTCCCCACTCCTTGCCCACTGTAAATCCAGAGACTGAAAGCATCTACCATGCAAAGAGAGCAGCTGTGGGTTTTAAATGCCAACGGTACTTTGCATAGACATGTTTTAATTTTGCAGCCGTCTTTTGGCCCTGTTGCTGAAGGTTTGAGCACCAGCACAGCCAGAGAAAGTGTGCTGGCACCACCCGGACGACTGTTGCTACCACTAAATCGTATACGCATCCATGGTAGAATATGGAGCTTTATAGAAAACGGCCACCGAATGGAGGATTTCATTCCTTTTCCATCCCATACTCATCCATTTTTCATACCCATACCAAATCGACCTTCACACCTTCCACTTTACAGCTACCACGCACTTTACTTATTCAGTGCATCACCTATTTTTTTCCTCGCCATCTTACACCTTCCCTTCGTTTACACTTCACTTTCCTCTCCCTCCTCGTCATTCCTCCCCCCCCTTCCCCTCTCTCCCTCTTCCCGTGTCATTCAATTTCCTTTGTCCACTCGTCCTTCACTCCTTGCTGCTATTCATCCTGCCCTCCATCCTCGTGCTCTCCGGGGGTCTGTGGCAGTGATAATGAAGCGCATAGTTAACAGATATTAGCTCATTGGCAGTGGATTCATTAGACAGAGCCAAGGCTTATGGTGATTATTTACCCACAGAGGAGGGGCCACAGGATCAGTGTGCTCTGTGTCAGCAGCCACAGGCTTCTTTGAAGTCACACAGTCTCTGTGCCCTTGCAACGCACTTCTCTTCTCCCTGGGTTTTCTCATTCCATCTGAGCACCTCTCCCTCCACATGTCCCTTACTCGCTGCACTGCCATTTTTTTTCCGCTTTCCCTGTCATTAGACACCCACAATACATATCTGCTCCCTCTCCCTTTCCTTCTCTTTCACTATCTCTCTTCACGCCCCCATTCACCCAATGGTAATTATGGAAAAATCTGTAATAGTGCTCAGAGGAGCTGATAATACCTTTAGCTTAATTAAAGACATTTATGGGATGTAAAGACATGTAGCCTAGAGGTTGCTGTGCACCCACACTAACCCAAACTCTTAATTTCTTGCTTTCATCTCCCTCAATCCCTCGCTTTCTGCTTTTCTTATCGTTTTCTCTGTTTCACACACATTCCTTTTGTCAAACTGGATGTTAAGGTCAGAAGCTATGCAACTAATTCCCCAGACGTTCAGCTCTGAAGTGTTGTAAAACGTTGTAGGACTACATTGTGGTGTACGGCTTGTGTGGGTTCATGGCAATTCCAGTACATGTGGTTTATCAGCCTGAAGCACACACACGTATATGATGGCAATAGTGACAGACTTTTCCTGTTGATTATCCCAGTGTCGGCCACATCCTGTCGGGCTGAGAGATGCGCAGCATACGTGTTAACATGTCAGTCAGGGACACCAGTAATATTGCAGGAAAGTGAACAATTCTTTGGGCATACTTGAAAGGTCACAGTGTTGGAGAGACAGCTGCTGCAGTGAGAGCGTGATGATGGAGTCTGCTTTTCTCACCATTATTCTTGTTTCTACTCTTGAGGTATATTCCTCTCACTCTGGCATCACAGGTATGAAATAAGAATGTACTTTCTGTAATTTTTTTAGAAATGATTCCTAAACTGATCTGGGAAGTGGGTCTACATTTCCCAGCTAATGTTAATTATAGAGTGCAAACATGAATGGTCATTTATTGGCTTTAATCTGACCATCTTTAAAGAGTAGGTTAACATCATACCCTAAACGACACTCACTCAATCATACACGTACAGTATATATATAGAGATATACTGTAGATATATATATCAGAATCAGAATCAGCTTTATTGGCCATGTATGCGTACGCATACAAGGAATTTGACTCCGGTTTTGATGTTGCTCTTAATGTACATACACAGGATATACAAATAAACAAGAAAAATATAAAAAATAAAAACAAGGACATTAAAGACAAAGTAGAACAGAGGTAAGCATAAACATTTAAACATTATATATATATACTGTATATATATATACTGTATATATATATATATATATATATATATATATATAGAAATAGAAATAATAGAAATATACTGGCTGCAAAGAGATCCCTTTCCTAAAATCATTTCACTGAAGGAATGATTAAAGGGGTCAATAACTCTTTCCAGAAGGCCCCCAAATTCTGCACTTTCACCAACATTATTAGTGAAAGTGCAGAATTTGAGGGTCTTCCTTAAAACTCGTCTGAAAAGTTCCCCGTTATAATGCTTGACTTTTTGTCGCCTCTCCCTCAGACTGGGAAGATGTTGTGGTGGCTAGAGAGGGCGTGCCTACCACCTTGGGCTGCACTGATGCAACAATGAGGGGTGCCGTGGCCATTAACTGGAAGGTGAAGTCAGTTGGTGTGGATGAATGGAAACTGCTTCTCTCAGCCAACAAAAAGAAAAGGTTCTCTGGTGGTGCCTCAAAGACATCCATGCGATTGACTGACCCTGACTTTCAAGACACCGGGGTTTTCTCCTTGTTCCTTGTTCCCAGAATGGAGGACAGCGGCCTCTACTCATGCTCGATAAAGCAACACGAGAGGGAATTGGAGAAGATTATCCTCTTAGCCATCCTTACAGGTAGGAAAATCACCAGGTTACATGTGAGATTTTGAACACCGTCTGCTCCCCATGTATGTTTTTAAGTTTGTACAGCAAACAAGTGCAGATGAATATCTCTCCAATATATATTTAAATATGTATTCATATTAGTTTGATGTTGTTTAATTTTTTACTGATGTAAATATACTTATTTACTTGTTTTGCTTTTACAGTCTTTTAAATCGCTATGAGGCCTCTTGATATATACGCCTTTAAGAAATGTTACACAACTCATTATTTGCTTGATTGCCAAGTTAATTAGAACCTATAAGAAATGACCTTTGCCATACTCAACTTACATTTCCCACACACAAGAAGTGCAGTAGTAGTACAAGTTTGAGGTTACTGTACTTGAGTATTTCTATTTCATGCAATTTACTTGCTATACTTCTACTCCACTAATAATATTGCACTTTTTACTCCACTACGGCTAACTTACCAATTACTCTGCAGATTGATACTTTACAACCAAATTACATGAACAGATGCAACAATAAAATGCTGTTAAGGTGTAATTTCATTACTGATAACAATCCACTAATGATTCCACTCCTGATTTCCTGTGTCCTCCCTGATCTTCAGTCACTGTTGTCCCCGCTGCACCCATCCCTCTGCTCAGCACCCTGCGGCTGGCTGCCGTTGTTAATCCTGGCTATGCCATCACCAGGATCACCTGGGAAGCACCTGGCGGCATTTCCATGAAGAGCGAGAAAAAAACAAATACAGGCACAGTGGCCAAACTGCCACAGGTCCAGAACAGTGACAGCGGGGCCTACATCTGTATGGTGTGCCTGCGCAACACTCTTTTCCCCTTCAAAGTGGACGTGATTGTTGATGGTGAGACTGGATTTGAGAGTGAGAAAAGCAAAAGCAGTGAGGAATTGAATACATTTATTCTTGCTTTTGTTGATGTACGAGTGGGCATTAGTGCTAGAAACTGAAGCAGCAGCATTATTTATTTATGCATCCTGTAGCTATACAGTTCTTCAAAGTATTTACTTTAGACCCGTTTCAAGATTCAAAAGTCTACTGTAGATCTTGACTAAAATTCAGCCAGTCCTCCTGTGAATATTATAGTTGCTACATTTATGTATTATTCATTATTTGCTTTTTGCCCCTCCCGTCTTGCTTCTCTTCTCTCCACAGCTGACAATATGGCCTCATTCACCAATATAACACATGGTGAGTGACTTTGTAACACAAGCAGTCTGAAAGTCCTGTGTCAGCAGCTTGATAATCAGGCAGAGCAGAATGCAAGACCAACTGAAGAAGTAACTCTCAGCATATAATCCCTATTGTTGTAGGATCTCAATTTCCCTACTCTCTTACTATTCTGTTTACTCTCTCTGTCTTTATCCATCCCGTTTTATCCTGAATTCCCTTTCTATATTATTGCATGCACTCTTTTGTCTTCATATCCATCTCTACTCCGTCTTCCTCACCATTTCATTACTATGGTTTCTCTTGTTTTTCCTCTTCCCTCCTTGCCTGCAGACAGCGATATCCCCACCGCCACTCAGGCTCGGACACTGTTTCCCCTGACCTGTCCTGGTGACCAGGGGGACTACGTCCGGCTGCACTGGCGACCTCCAGACAGGAAGCACAGTGATATTATGCTGGTGTACAGGAATGACCGCTGGGGGGGTTCCACCTTTTTCACTAATCACAGCAAGAGACTCCAGCTTGCGGGCCCACCCTACAACGCAGAGGCCGGGAGCTTCTCCTTTCTACTCACCCCTGAGTTTGAAGATGGCGGCCTCTACATCTGTGAAGTGTTCCTCAATGACAACGTTGTCAGCCGCAGGACCATACTCAGTGTGCTGAAAGGTACAGATCGGGGTCAGGAGGGGGAGAAAGACGAGGAGGAGGTGGATTAGGAGGGATAGAACAAGGGGCGGGGATCGATTTAAGAGACGAGCGGTGTCACTTTTATAATAAGCTTGTCTATTTGTCATGTATAAAATGCCATTTGTGGAGGCTGTTATGCAAATTAGCAGCAACAAAATAGACATGTAAACTGATGGATGACAAATTACCATCAGGATTTCCCAAGTCTTTTAAGTCAGCAGGGGTATTGAACATTATTCTTACAAAAGATATTCCCTTATTTGGTGTTTGTATTATGAAATATTCCAGGTGTTCAATTGGTTTGAGATCTGGTCAATGCAACAACCATAACACATTACTCATACATTTATCATACTCATCAAATCATTCAGTGACTGCCTCTGCATAAATTATGTTTCTCCAACCATTTATTCCCCCCCCCCAATAATCTTCTTACATATCTATAGTTTATCTAAAGGAGTAACAGCATGCAGGTGACACACAAGCAAAACTCCATGCAGCTACCAAAAAACAGCTAATAGATGTAACTGGGCTGGTATAAATAGTGAGAGACTAATGGGGAAGTAGGACCAGGTGAACAGGAGCTGGTGAGTGCAGGGAAAACAAGGAACAGGTGAAACCAATAAGGGCGGGGCAGATAATCAAAACGGGCAGTAAGTGAAGTGATCCAAAACAAGAACAGGAAGCCCTGAACAGGAAGCACTAAACATGAATGAATGATGTTTAACCTAAACTGAACTGCCACATACATACAGGTACATACATGAAATTTAACCTTTGCATTTCACCCATCCTAAGCATTAGGAGCAGTGGGCTGTTGTGAAGCGCCCGGAGTAACTTGGGGGTTCAGTGACTTGCTCAAGGACACTTCGACATGAAGACATGGGGGGGAGCAGGGCATCAAACCGCTAATGAATAAAACGCTCTTACACATTGAAAAGGGTTTACAGTTGATCAAAATGGCCAGTTGTCATAGAGGCGGGGAGACGTGATGTTGTTTGATGATGGGGTTGTTGGTTATTTTCAGGCAGTCTCTTCTAAAAGGTATTCATAGTGTTGAACTCTGTTGTTCACAAGAAAAGTTACAGAAATAAAGATATAGTTGTGCCAGAAATTAAAAAATAAGAGAGCTGAGCAAAGTTCACGCCCTGGCACCTCTCTCACCTCAAACACAGCAAGCTAATCACAAAATTGTCAGTTTCTGAAAAGTTACAGAAATGCTGGTGCACTGCCCCTCCGCTGGTTGCCTGGAAACCTCGCTGTGACGACGAGACTCAACGTATCCTCCGATCACAGCACATAACTCCCCTCAGCCACAACTTGTCTTTTTACATTTCTGTTTGTACGGATTAAACAAATGAGACATAATTGATTGGTGAGCTTTAGACGTTTGGACCGTGCCAGGCTAGCTGTTTCCCCTCCTTCCAGTCTTCATGCAAAGCCAAGACAATTGCCTTCTGGTTCAAGCTCCACAGTGCACATGTAGACATGAGAGTTAATGTCAAATAACTCCTTAAATCCGAACAGTTTACAAGACAGTGGCAAAATAATTGGCAGAGGGTAATACAGATACTGTAGTTAAAGGACCCATGTTTCTTGAAGCCGAAGCCCTGCTGATGTGTCCTTAAGCAAGATAGTGAATTCTCACCAGCTGCCACTGTATTGTGCTGTGGAAGAAGTGCAAAGAAAATGTCCCACAGTCATGGATATAATGTCACATCATTAAATGAATACATTTATATTATTGTTCATGAAAAGTTATACTTGCCCATTAATGTAAAGATAAAATTGAGCAGAACACCTGTTGATTTTCACGAGAGCGACATAGAAAGGTTTCACCCTTTTCAAAAATATGCAGAAAACATTTGCACCCACACATGCAACTCCCAACACACACACACACACACACACACACACACACACACACACACACACACACACACACATATACACATCCAAAGCCCTGTCATGGCGGCCTTGGAAGAGTTTACTAATCACAGTCTCACTGGCATCCATCACAGCCGCCCAGACATGACCAGCCGATCCGTCACTGTCACCCTGCTTCACACATCTGCATCCCTCAAACACACACACACATACACATCCACAACCGCGCCAATCATGTGACGCATATATTTTTACCCCACCTCATTATGAGTATCATTATGTATGATTATACCTGCAGCCCTCCCACCAAGGCTGTATGTGGCCCACACTGATCACACTAATCAAGGCTGAAATGTGTGTTTGTATGCGCGTGTGTGTGTGTGTGTGTGTGGGGGGGGGGGGGGGGGGGGTCTGTGAAGCTTGATTACACCCAGATGGATCCTCATTTCTGTTTGACGAGACACTAAGCATCAGTCACAGTCAACCAACGCATTAGCAGCAAATCACTTTAATGAATATATATTATTTTGACCCCTCTCTGAATTGTTCTTGTTTTTCATATTGCTTTCCCTTTCCCCCATTACTCTCTTTCTGTCCTTGGCCTTTTCTATATTCACACACTACCCTTTAACTCACTTTCTCATCCTGCCTCGCTCCCTTCTCTACTCTCCTGCCTGTCTACTTGACTTACTCATCCTTTCTTCGATTTATTTTCATTTCCTTCATGCCTCTGTAACATTCTCTCTCCGTTATCCTCCTACACTCCTCTCCCCTCCCCCTCGCCTCTCTGCATCACAGCAACAGTTAAAACCCGCCATTCCTCTTCAAAGCTGGAATTGGGGTGCAGGTACTCAGAGCGGTCCCAGGTCCAAAGTGCCCGTTGGACATACCAGAATAAGAGTCGTCAGCTGGACTCATGGGGCAAGGAGCCTGGCAGAATCACCACCAATCTGCCCTTACCCATCACCTCTGACACAGCCGGGAACTACACCTGCACCCTACAGCTGAAAAATGGGCAGACTGTCTGGGCAACGCAAGCTGTCACACTGCCCCATGAACGTGCGAGGGATGGTAAGGGTATAACAAAGACTGGTCTGTTTTCTGATTTTCTTTATCAACACTATATTATTTTACTAGCACAGGAGTCCTGGCAGACTTCCTGTCAACTCAGTGGAGATAATGAACCATGAATGTGAAAGATTCTCGGATATGTGCTCCGTGATGCGTTCTACGGCGCATTCAAGCCAACCTCAGGTCAATCCATCTGCTAGAGAGCCCACGGTTTATGGAGGAAAAAGCTCCTGACGGATACCATATATTACGCTTTCTTAATGTGGTTAAAAAGGTCACAGGTCAAGACTACTGTGACATTGTGATTTGCAGATAATATACAGCAGGAATAACAGTCTATTTACGGGCCCATTTTTCATAAAAATCCACCAGCGTTTTAATACCGTGCTCAGCCTCTATAGAACATAAAACTCAGGCTATAATTTTTCTCATCACACTCACCCAGTTGATATGCGAATATATGAAGACAGGACCTTAGGACATCTCTAAATTATTCAGGCTTATTGTATTGGTGGCTGTGGGGGAGCACAGGAGGATGTGACATTTGAATGGATCCCTTAGCAGAGATGAATTCACTCCCCGTTACCCCAATACATCACCTTGGGTTGAGGGACCCAGAACTCATCATGATGCACGCTGATGGTACGGCTATAAGAGTAATGGAAATGGAGGAAAGAGAGAGAAGGCGATAAAGACAGCGAGGGAAAAGAGGCAGCATGAATTCACCTGATTGGAAAGGCAGGATCAGAAAAATATATATATATAATGTGGCATTTGCCCAGTGTAACGAGGAATTCAGCCTAAGAAATATGAGCTACATATACACAGTTGAAAAGTGACAGGCTGCAATAGTGCAAGATAGCTCAAGGGTTCTTGGTTAATAATGAATAGTATGACAATAAGCAGTGACAGTTAAAAGTTTATAAATAGTTGTTCTGGTTAGCAAGAAGGCATCCAGAAAGATTTTGCACATTGTTGGCTCAAACAACGAACTGAAGCAACGTTAAGGTTCACTAGGAAATATAATTTGGGGATAGCTTATGTGCTGTAAGCCACATCTGAAAATATAGTGACGGTTGTAGAAAATATAAATTCTGTATAATAAAATTCATTTCCCTGGTGGCACAGTTCATAGAATGCAAAATTGAAGCAATCATTGTGTTCTAAAGCACATGAAATACTTCAAATGTCAGGGATGTTCTGCAATCATTTGCTATCCGGAGTTGGCCCATCATATGCAAAGCTTTCAAGCAGTTCTTTGGTCTGCCTTCTATCAGCCACCCTCCTCTACAAACGCACTGATATAATTCGCCCCCCCCCCGTACCTCATTTGAGATGAAATAGACGAGGAAGTGCCAATAGAGGAAAGGAAAAGGTGAGATAGAGGAAGTTGAGAAAAAGGTGTAGAAAGGAACAGGAAGAGAGAAAATAGCGATGTGCTAGTGAAAAACTGCAGGAGCGTTAATGCCTCACTTCACTGCACTCAATTACCATAATTCATACGTTAAAGTCGGCATGGAGAACAGAGCAGGTCAGTCTTTGGGTCAGCACTCACCAGAGTACTCCATTAGCAACCTCTACACACACTCACCAATCAATTACACCTCACACAGCACATAAAGATTGATCATGTTGATGCCGGTTAAAAGCTGTGACACCAGGCCCAAGGTGAAGCCCGCGGGCTAATCCTTTAACAAACAAAATATGATGAGATGTCTGAGAGTACTTTACTTCTGCCAGGTTTCTGCCCATCAGATAAGATGATGATTCAACAGAAAGTGTTGGTTGTTCTGCAGTAACTCATCTGTCTATTAGGCTTCTCTTCAAGAAGAAGTCTTACAGATCGGGGAGCAGACCAACACATACACTAAATTACAGCAGTCTGTGGAAACGAGTTCCTCCCTCTTGCTTCTCATGTCACCCTGTGGCAGTGTTTTGCAACACTGATGTCATCTTCATTATGCAAACGAATCAGACAAGTTCGATGGCATACGTGAGCTCTTCCAACAGAATTTGACTGGTATACTTATGTAATGTTTGTGATAATCATGCCTACGCCTTCTATTCAGCTGTTTTCCGATGCTGTCTTGACATGGTTTAGCTGAAAGACTATTTACATTGTTTGTCAGTATGCCTGGAGGCAGTTTGTTAGCTATAGGATCTGATGTCAAGAGAGTGTTCATGGAAAAACCTCTCCTGGCTTTACCTATACTACATAAATGAGGACATACATTTTTAGATAGTGAGATAAGGAATAGTTTTGCAAAAAATTGACAAATCAAACTACTCTGTATGGAAGTGGCAGCATCTGGTGTCTTTGATAATGGTGCCTTTCTTCTTGTCGGCCACGTTTCAAATTGACAATGTTTACTGTCCAGACTGAGGGTCTGTCAGATCGATGAGTACTCCGCTGTCGTACAGACTATTCTGTCTAACAGAGCCTGGATTTTATCGCCTTTTTCCACTGTACCCATTGTCTGTCACTGACAGCAGCATGATGCAAATGCGTGTAACATGTTTGGGAAATCTCAACCACAACAAGTCTTCAAATTCATTGCTTTAAGAGTTTACGTAAAGGAAAAGGTTGCCCTCTCTTGACTTGGAGAAAAGAGCAAACTGGAGAATAAACAGCAATAACGTCTTTCCATGTCATTCAACCACGCACGCTCTCAGCCCTACGAGTTTCATATTACTGTTCCTGGAAGCATTCGTAGCTTTTTTTCTGTCTCTCACTTTTTTCCTCTCTTTCAGTCGAGGGTGGCAGTGTCGCCACCCCCTCCCTGCTCCCATCTCTCTCCGCTTTATTACTCCTGGTGCCCCTGGTTGCTGCAGCTGTCTGTGTGTTGCTATGGAGACAGAAACACATTTGTGATCGCGGTGAGTCTTCCGGCGCTTTCTTTTTTTGACAGCTTTCCGTGTTCCGTCCATCTTTGGCCCCTGTCGGCTGCCACTGTGTGATGTGGGCCGTGACATCCTCTGGGGTTGTTGTAATGAATCTGCCCCCTACGTCCCTCCCTCCCCTCCCTGTGCATTTGACTGTGTGTGTGTGTGTGTGTGTGTGTGTGTGTGTGTGTGTGTGTGCGTGTGTGTGAGAGAGACTATATTGGTAACAATCTCTCTGTACTCAGGTATTGAGCAGTCTCTGTCTGTCCACTCGGGTGACGCAGAGAACATCTATGAGAATCCTGAGGATATCAGACAGGTGATGAATTCAGACACTTTCAATAACTAAATGATGATTTTCCCTCCTCATTTTGCCCTCATCTTCCCCTCTCCCACTCCTCCCCTCTGGTATTAAGCACTCTTTCTCTTCTCTTTTTTTTGTTTCTCTCACCCTCCCCTCCCCTTTCCTGTCTTGTCTCTATTGTGCCCTTTTTTCTTTTTTTGCTTTCCTTCTGTTTTTTTTCTCTGATTTTCATTATCCCTCCCTCTCTGTCACTTGTTGTTCATTAAACCTGTTTTCTTCCTTCTCCTCCCTTCCCAACAGGCTCCTCCCCAGGGCTCAGTCTACATGGTGAGTTATTGTGTCGTCCCTTGCGCGCGCACAAAGGCGTAGTGCATATGTGTGTTTGTGAGGAGATGTGGCACACACATCCACCAATGCACACAGACTCTCACTCTCTCTATTGCTTCTTCCCTAAGCTGTCAGCAGATATGTCTTCCCTCACATTTGAAGTCCTCTCCTCCAATCTGTCAGCCCTCTCTCAGATAAACCAATTGTCTATCAACTGTCACTCTTACATTAGTGGTATTAACAAATCAATCTCATTACACAGGGCACAGAGGGACATAAATCTGGCCCCAGAACCATGAGTCTCTACTCTCTCTTTCTCCTCATCTTCACTCGTTTTTTCCCCTGCCTCCCTTCCCCCTTTTCTTCTTTATGCCAGGATTTGAAGCCAAGAGGAGAGGATGATGTCTATAAGGAACTGGAGCGGTAAGCAAAAAGCCTTGCATTACCTGTGTGTGCTTTTGTATGCTGAACTGTATGTGTGTATGTGTTCATGTGTGTGTGTGTGTGTGTGTGTGTGTGTGTGTGTGTGTGTGTGTGT